CCCAGCCTGGCCCCCGGCTGCAGGACAACCCCGCTGCCGACGCCGTCCTGCCGGGGATGCACTGGGGGGATCTCCTTCCCCTTCCCTCTGGCACGGAGGCAAATCCCATCCTCTCCTTGTCCTTCCTCCCCCAGACAAGGAGCTGAGGATGGAGACCAGGGAGGACAAATCCCCACGGCAGAACCTCGTGGAAGAGGCCGTTTTGAGCAGCTCCACGGCACAGGAGTCCAACGGGGAGGAAAAGCCGCGGAGATCCCTCAGGAGGAGGGGCTCCAAAGCCAGCCCAGGGTGCTCTGAGGAGGAAAGACCCACCCTGAGCCGGGAAGGTGGCCAGAGATGTGGCCAGAGCTCTGAGCTGGTGGTCCGTGAGAAGCTCCAGGATGGGGAGAAGCCCCACCAGTGCTTGGAGTGTGGGAGGAGTTTCTTCACAAGGTCCCGCCTGCTCCGCCACCAGATGATCCACACGGGGGAACGGCCCTATGAGTGTGGGGAGTGTGGGAAGGGCTTCAGAGACACCTCGGGTCTGCTCCGCCACCAGACCGTCCACACCGGGGAACGTCCCTATGAATGTGGGGAGTGTGGGAAGGGCTTCAGCGTCAGCTCCCACCTGACTGTCCACCAGAGGATCCACACCGGGGCACGGCCCTACGAATGTGGGGAATGTGGGAAGAACTTCAGCATCGGCTCTGAGCTGAGAGTCCACCAGATGATCCACACTGGGGAATGGCCCTACGAATGTGGGGAATGTGGAAAGAACTTCAGCATCAGCTCCAGTTTGATCCGCCACCGGATGATCCACACCGGGGAACGGCCCTACCAGTGTGAGGAATGTGGGAAGGGCTTCAGGAAGAGCTCCCACCTCGTCAGGCACCAGATGACCCACACTGGGGTGCGACCCTATGTGTGTAGGGAATGTGGGAAGGGCTTCCGTGACAGCACTGACCTGATCATCCACCAGTCATTGCACACCGGGGAATGTCCCTACAAGTGCTCCGAGTGTGGGAAGAGCTTCACCCAGCGCTCCAACCTGATCATCCACCAGAGGAGCCACACCGGGGAGAAGCCCTACACGTGCTCAGAGTGTGGGAAGAGCTTTGCCCAGCACTCCAACCTGATCAACCACCAGAGGGTCCACACTGGGGAGAGGCCCTACAAGTGCTCAGAGTGTGGGAAGAGCTTCTCCCAGAAAGCCAACCTTATCGGCCACTGGAAGATCCACACCAGGGAGAGGCCCCACAAGTGCTCAGAATGTGAGAAGAGCTTCATCTATCGCTCCAGGCTTATCGCCCACCAGCGCACCCACGCCATGGAGGGACCCTAACAGTGTCCCCAGTGTGGGCAGAGCTTCTCCCAGAGCTCTACCGTGAGCCAACAGCAAGGGAGGCCCCGGTAAGGGAAGCCCTGCGCGTGCCCCGCATGCGGGAAGAGCTTCGTGCGCTGCCTCAGCTCCATCCTCCTCTGGATGATCCCCAGTGAGCCTCGCTGGGCAGGGACTCGGTGATCCGTGCTCCTGGTGATCCGTGCTGGGAAGACACCTGGCTGGTGGTGTCCACATCTTCCTGGCTCCCTGTGCTCACCTGGGCTCAGCAGGACAAAAACTGGGATGCAGAATGACGTCCGGAATTCATTGGCAAAAGCGGATTTTTTTACTTTCAACCTCAAAAAATCTCTTCTTTTGCGCTCAGTCATTTCTTCTGATGGCATCAAGGAATAGCGGTTGGTCTTGGAGATCTTTTCCAACCTCTGTCGTTCCATGATTTTAATTGTCTCTGGCCCTCAGGTACCTTTTACAGCCAGGTGGTGATGGACCAGGGCAAAACACCAAGATTTTGGAGACAATGGAGTGGAAACTCAGCTAACAAAGGTTTTTTCCACCTCCCCAGGCCCATGGATGCTCACCCAGCAGGGACACCTGAATCCTGGTATTCTGGCTTTGTTTTTCTTCCATTTTCCTTCATCCCTTAACCCAATAGTTGAGTAAAAATAAAGATCTTGGACTAAGACGTGGATGAGGAGATGGGGAGACATGGACATGGATGGGGACATGGTGGGACATGGGTGGGGACATGGATGGGGACACGGTGGGACATGGGTGGGGACATGGGTGGGGGCATGGTGGGGATGGGGACGTGGACATGGATGGGGACATCATGGGACATGGTGGGAATGGGGATGGGGACATGGATGGGGACATCGTGGGATATGGTGGGACATGGATATGGACATGGATGGGGACATCATGGGACATGGTGGGAATGGGGACATGGATGGGGACATCGTGGGACATGGTGGGACATGGTGGGAATGGGGACATGGATAGGGACATCGTGGGACATCCCATATGGACATGGATGGGGACATGGACATGGATGGGGACATTGTGGGACATGGGTGGGAATGGGGACATGGACATGGGTGGGGACATCATGGGACATGGCGGGACATGGTGGGAATGGGGATGGGGACATGGATGGGGACATCGTGGGACATGGGTGGGGACATGGTGGGAGGGGGATGGCGACATGGACATGGATGGGGACACGGTGGGACATGGGACATGGTGGGGATGTGGACATGGATGGGGACATCATGGGACACGGTGGGGGCATGGTGGGGACATGGACATGGATGGGAACATCGTGGGACATGGGTGGGGACGGGGACAGGGATGGGGACATGGTGGGACATGGTGGGGATGGGGATGGGGACATCGTGGGCCATGGTGGGACATGGTGGGGATGGGGACATGGATGGGGACATGGTGGGACATGGTGGGGATGGGGATGGTGACATGGACATGGGTGCAGACGTGGCTGTGGATGGGGATATTGGGCATGAGAGGTCACACAGATGGTGACATGTGGGTTTATGGCCACGGATGGTGACAGGTGGCCTAGGGGACAAGTCCATGCCATAAGATGTCCCATGACCGAGGAGAACACCACCACCACCACGATGCCATCCCCTTCATACTACCATTTATTCCCAGCTCCTCCCCGGGGTGTGACACCCGCCTCGCGGGCTGTCCCCATGTCCTGGTGACCCGTGTCCCTCAGGCCACTCCCGCCAGCGGCTCCAGCAGCAGCCAGAGCCCGTCCTCGGCACGCAGGATCAGCTCAGGCTTGCGGCGCGGGGGCGGCCTCGCCGTGTCCCTCCGCAGCACAAAGCGGGACAGCGTCAATGCCACCACCACCTTCATCTCGGCCATGGCAAAGCTCTGCCCGATGCAGTTCCTGCCACCACATCCCCACTGTCGTTGTCACCCCACTGCCACCCCACTGAGCCCAGCTGTCACCCCAGCCAGCCGGGGATGGGGGTGGCACCTGGGGACACTCCTGTCCCCACCCCACCACGTACCTGGGGCCAGAAGAGAAGGGGATGAAGGATGCCGGGGACCGTCCCTTGCTGTTCTCTGGGCTGAACCTCAGGGGGTTGAACACCTTGGGGTGACACCGACACCGTCACGCGGAGGGGACGCAGCTGTCACCACCGTGGTGACGGGGACACATCATAGGGTGGCCCTACCTCGGGCTCGGGCCAGAGGTCTGGGTTGTGGTGGGTCCCGTAGATGCTCATCAGGCAGATGACCCCTGGTGGGATGGGAATGGCCACTTGAGGGGCAGCAGGGGAGGGTGGCTGGTGACACGGGGGGTGACCCTGGCCATGCCATACCCTTGGGGATGACACGGCCATCGCGCAGGGGGACATCCTGGGTGCAGCGCCGGGACACGGCGGTGACGGGAGGGTGCAGCCGCAGGCTCTCCTTGATGCACATGGTGGTGAAGGGCAGCCGGGACAGGTCCTCCCTGGGGACAAGCGGGGGTGGCACCGTGTGGGGGGTGGCACCTCCAGCCAGGTGGCCAGAGGTGGCCCCCGGGGACATCTCACCATTCAATGTCCGCAGTGTCCCGGCCGGCCAGGAGCTGCTGGACCTCCTGGCGGCAGCGCTCCTGGTGCTCAGGGTGGCCGGCCAGGTTGTAGAAGAGCCATGCCAGGCCACTGGCCGTGGTGTCGTGGCCTGTGGGGACGTTGGGTGACTGAGGGGACACTGGACTGGCCACCCGCCCCAAGTGGCGCCTGGGAGCTCGTGCTTACCCTCAAACATGAAGGTGTCGGCCTCAGCCGCGATGTCCTCGTCCGACAGGGTGTGGCCATTCTCGTCCTGGGGGGGTGACATGAGCCATGGGCCACCTGGGGCCACTGGTCTATGGCCAAATCCCATCCACGGCCACCATCATCTCCCCATGGCCACCACCACCCTACAGGCACCACCATCCCACTGGCCACCAGCTCTGTGGCCACCATCGTCACCCCATGGCCACCACCCTACAGGCACCACCATCCCACTGGCCACCAGCTCTGTGGCCACCATCATCTCCCCATGGCCACCACCACCCTCCTGACCACCTGCATGCCCCCGTGGCCACCAGCCCGGCCCCACCTTGGCGAGCAGCAGGAGGTCGATGAAGTCCATGCCATGTCCGCGGTGGCTATCCAGCCAGGCCTGGTGGCCCAGGCGGGCGAGCGCGCGGCGCCGGCGCTGGACCACGTCGGCGGTGAAGGCGTGGACGGTGGCGCAGGCGCGGGCGAAGCGCCGGCCATCAGAGGAGAGCCTGTAGAGCCACCACGGGTGGAGAAGTGGCCGCAGCTGGCGCCGGACCACCAAGGAGCTCAGCTCTAGGATGGCCTGGATGTACTCGCTGGGCCGCCTGCGGGGACAGCAAGGGGGACACTGTGGCCACCAGCACGGCCAAGAGGGACCATGGCCATTGGGGCCACCAGAATGGCCAGTGGGGACAATTACAGGGCCAGGATGGCCAACGGGAACAATGAGGGGGCCAGGATGGCCAGCAGGGAACATGGCAGGGCCACCATGGCCACCAAGATGGCCAGTGGGGACCATGGCAGGGCCACCTTGGCCACCAACATGGCCAGCAGGGACTGTGGTGGGGCCACCACGGCCCCCAGGATGGCCAGCAGGGACTATGGTGGGGCCACCATGGCCCCCAGGATGGCCAGCGGAGACCATGGCAAGGCCACCATGGCCACCAGGATGGCCAGTGGGGACTATGGCAGGGCCACCATGGCCACCAAGATGGCCAGTGGGGACCATGGCAAGGCCACCATGGCCACCGGGATGACCAGTGGGGACGATGGTGGGGCCACCACAGCCCCCAGGATGGCCAGCAGGGACCATGGCAGGGCCACCATGGACCATGGCAGGGCCACCAGGATGGCCAGCAGGGTCCATGGCAGGGCCACCAGGATGGCCAGCGGGGACAGGTGGCACTCACTCCTGGCAGTGGCTCTCGTGGCTGAAGATGCACTTCTGGAGGGTGTCCAGGGTGAGGAGGCTCAGGGGCTGCAGCACCTCCAGCTCCACCGGCCCCGTGCCAGCGGCCACCGCTGACCCCCACTTGGCCTGTGGGGATGGACCGGGTCAGGTCGGGGGACAGGGACAGGGACAGGGACAGGGACAGGGACAGGGGAC